GACCAGGAATGGTTTGTGCGCAGAGGTAAAGCATACTTGGATTGAGAATAGAGCCGTCGCAGGTTCATACGCTGACAGTTTATAGGCTGGATGATGGAAGATACCTATATATTCGACCTCTATCTGGATATCGACAAGTGGCGCCAACCGGAAGATGTGTTTGGTCCTCTGAGCAATCAAGGCATCACGTTTGGCGCTTGTAGCCCCGCGGTGTTTGAAGACCTGATACAGTTCGAGGACAAGCACTTTTCGACGTATCCGGGCTGGGTCGAGAAATACCGCGCTCTCAAAGATACAGATGGTAAGATCTCCCGACACCCACATTTCTGGTAAGGCTTTCTAACACTCTGGATACTAGATATCGCCGATGCTGTCCTTGCCTTTAGCAACAACTCCATCGTTGGAGCGGCACTGGTGTTCTCGGGTGTTGGAAACAATCAAATATCTCGAGATATACCGTGGCCCAGAGTCATCGGTGACCGGGTTGGCGGGTTGGCTTGTGTTGGAATGGGCCGTAAGTTATATTCGGCTCGATCTGGAAGGATGCCAGCTTATTTTGCTAATATGAGTGCACGATCTAGCTGAGTATAGAGGTCGCGGGGTAGGCGCCGGCCTGGTCTGCGCTGCCCTTCTAGAGCTTAAAAATCGCGGTTTGGCCGGTTGCTTCGTCGACTGGTCTACCGACAGACAAGTTTACGAAAGTCTAGGTAAGTTGAAGCCCCCACGCAGCAATGGTTATCAGGGGCTTATTCACGGCTGCTGGGCATAGGCTTCGAAACGTACGGTAAATACCGTACCACGGCCTGGAGAAAAGTTTGAGATACTTCTGAGACGTTCGGCGATCGATCTGTGGTTTTTTTTCATTGCAGGTGTTTAAGTGCGCGGTTGTTGAGGTTTCGTACTCCGGTGGGAATGCATGAGAGCGGTGTGTGGTTGATATATTCTTTTTTTTTCTCTTCCCTTTCTCAATCTCCTTTCTCTCGTCTACATTATCATGATCCTTTTATTCTCTTACCCATTTCTGCCTCACCAATACCCGACGACGACTTTTCTTAGACCTACGCAGGATCACCTATTACTCTCGCTTTCTTTAGTCACAGTATCGGCAGCATTTGGAGAGGCGTCTTGCTGGAGCGTTCATTTCTGTTCAACATACCAAGGAGGGAGAGGAGGAAACAATTCAGGAAAACGGATCGAAAGGTTCAGGAAGGTATTATACGGGACGAAACGTAACGAAGAAGGATGAGAGAGGAAGAAAGAAGAAAGAAGGAGAGAAGAGGGGAGGGGAGGGGAGGTGAAGGAAGGTTTTGAAGGGAGATTCGTGCGGCTGATCGATCTACAGGAGGATTATAGGAGCGCCGACCGTTTTGCTTGCAAGTAGAGACCAGAGTGCGTGGTTCGAAAAAAAAATCAAAGACTTGCGCCTAGCTTTACACGTCGAGCGGTTCTTTCTCATTCTTTTCTTTTCGTTTTGAACGCAGATGATTTATCTGTGCTTTGGACGGGGTCAGGAAGTATTGATCTTGCACAAGGATTGATGTCTGCTGGCTCCTGGGACATGCCCTCGTCTTCGCTACCTCTACCAGCTGTACATGTGATAGCTGGTGAAGACATGCTGGATGGGGACGTCTGATTCACGAGACAAACCAGGTGGTCCTGCATTGCAGGGCTGCCGCTTCATTATCCTAGCATACGTGCCGGGATAATATTCAGGGGACGAAGTTGCCGATTCGACGTGACTTTTTTTTATATCGTTCGCCTTTTGCTTTAACTTCCTTCTCACTTTGATTCACTCGTTAATAATCACCAACTACCTAATACGCCTACTTGTTTTGCTTGCTATCATCCTCTTCGCTACAGTCTTTCTTGATATATTTAGTTAGTACCTGAGTTGATTGGTCGCGATTCTTCCTGTCATTAATAATCCAAACACATTATTATACGCTCTATACGTATATACGGTCACTTAAGACTCCCCGCGCAGCCGCGCATACGCGCATGTCCCTAGAGGATAGGTAATCCCTTCAATGTACCTAGTGTAACCAACTTTACGTATATAAGCGGCGCTTACGGCTTGTTGTTGAAGTCTCGCGGGTTAGGCATAGCCGCCTGCGCAGAAGTGGGCTTGGCGACACCGCAAAACTCGGTTCGCCGCGAAAATTCAAACTTGCGCACTTCTCTGCGCGACCACCAATTGAACCTTCTCACAACCAGCCGGACGAACCCACACCTCCACGACAGAACAGAGCAACATGGCGCCCGTTAAACGGCCTCGGTCTTCGTCCAAGGCCTCCTCGTCTGCCTCGTCGAAGAAGCGGAAACTAAACAGCGGCTCATCGTCGGCTGCTGACGCGAAGCCCTTCACACCCGGCCAGATCACTTCATCGAAGCGCCACAAGAAGTCCTCGACTACGGTGTCTACAATCCCCTCTACCGCGAAATCATCGACGAACAGAATTCGCAAGCCGCATAAGAAACCGCTGAAGGACAGATACACGGATGCGCAGCTGAAATTACCCACGTTGAATGGCATCGTACCTGCGGGCGTCGCAAAGCCGCGCGGCAAGAAGAAGGGGAAGGTGTTCGTGGAAGATAAGGATACGATGATGGGAATTCTAGAACTGGTGAACGCATCCGTCGATGGTGTGATACAGGGCAAAGTTGAGAAGAACAGGCGGTTGGAGATCATCCGCGAGCAGAAGCGGCTGGAACAGGAGCGGAAGGAGCGGGAGAAGGAAGCCAAGTTGGTATGTTACCCTAGGTCATTGACCCACTGGCTGCCTCTCAGTTTCGCAGCCGGTTTATACCGGAGGCGGCGGGTAGTCACGACGTTAGTGAGAGGAGTGTGTGCTAATTTTCTCGGCGAACAGGAGGATGCGAAGGACTCGTTACGGAAGAAGAGAAAGCGAAAGACAAAGACGGCGGATAACAGCAACGATACCGAGGACAAGAGGCCTGTCGCCCCGGCTGGGAGGAAGAAGAAGAGCGTGTCATTCGCATAAGCAGATGACTCAGTCATCAATGTACGATTGGAGAGTTTTTCGAGGATTTGGCGCTCTAGGAGTCTTTCTTCGAGCGGAGAATACAAATATATACGATTTACCGGCGAAAGATGCCATACCATCTAATGCGCGCCTACTAGATTCCTACCCGTCTATCTATCCTCTCTAAACCTCCAGGTCTTCTACACCGTCCCGCTCACCTTTACAAATCCATCACCTTCCTCAGGCTTCTCCACGAGTTCCAACTCTGCCATGCGGCTCAGAAAACCCATGATCGGCTTAGGAAACCATCGTCCACCCCATTCGAACCACCCAAGGTGCCCGCCGATACTCGTTGTCACGAAACACAGATACGGATTCGCCTCTGACTCCAGTCTTGGAAAGGCTTCCTGCAGCGATATCGGGTCTTCTTCGGCGTTAATTATCAGCGTCGGCACTTTGACGTCCAGCAGTTTGTCTACAGATGTCGAAGCGCGATAGTATTCCCCTGCTGTTCGGAACCCGAACGCCTTGGCGGTGCAGTGGTGGTCGTAGTCATATAAATACACCGAGCTGCGGACCAAGTCGGGATTGATGGCTGGGTTTGTGGACAACATGGCATAGTGGCGCTCGAATAGCCTCTTCAGGCTGCCGGCCATATGTTTGGAGTATTGACGGCCGGTGAAGGTCATGAACATTATTTTAGCACAGGCATCGATGTTGTGTGGCGAGGAGACGAGGACAGCGGCGTGGAGTGGACAGGAAGCGGATTCCTCGCCGAGGTAGTCTATGTTTACACGACATGCATGTTAGAGGCGGACCGCTGGGATGTCTGGATGGAAATGACTGACTTGCGAGGATATTGGCGCCGAGCGAGAAGCCGAGCGCCATCAGCGGCCGGTTGGGAAACTTCTTTCGTAACAACTTGATCACCTGTCGGATATCGGCTGTGAACATGGCGTTGAACATCCGATTACCTATTTAGCTATTCCTTAGTCTCTTGTGTCACTGTACATATACGGCCCAACGATCTTGTACAATAGTCACATACTCGTAAGTTTTGTGTAGCCGCAGCCTCTCGCATTTACGACCAAAGCATCGTATCCGAGCCCGCCATCCTTCTTCGGCCGTACCAGCGGCTCTAATGCTAGCCGGATATACGTCTCATGCGACCCGCCGCTTAGGCCATGAAGAACTACTATTAGCGGGTTCGTTTCTGAATCTGAGCTCCATGCCTCAAACTCTTCGTTGGTAAAGTAGGATGTTCGAGGTGGGAAATATTCTGGGTCGCTTTCCAAAAGTACTTTCCGTGACGGCGTTGATGCTACTTCTGCTTGCGACGGCGGTGGAACGACGACATCGATGCTGAAAGTGCCCGTGCCGCTGCCGTCCGGCGAGTCGGCAGCAATGAGGAAGCGCTTATAGTGGATCGGAATCTCGACAGAGGCGAAGAGGATGGCACATGTCTGCAGATGCCCGCCTCGAAGCAACGGATGCGGATAGAACGGCGGAATCGCGGATTTGCAAACCGACACCAGTGATTCGGGTACTGTGTCATTATTGGTGGAGCTCCCTGAAGCCGGTTTCAGTAGGACCGGAGAGGGGTGGTGGTGGTACCGCAGGGTCGCGGGGCCGAACAGCATTTTGGAAACCGAGTGGTAGTAGAAGTCTGAGGTTGAAGTGATTGGTGTTCAACCTGGAAACATGTAGTTTCTCGAAACTTGCGATATATATAGAGTACGTGTTCAGCTTAGCATTGCATATGAATCAACCAACGGCTCTTATAGATGTTCTCCGTCGGCCGTCATTGTTGCTTTCAGCTGCTGCCGGCGGCCGAAGAATTGAGCTTGCCTGCTACCTCAGCCGAGGCACAAGCTGCAGCCCAATCCGCTCGCTTGTTCTGGTTCCTGGCCTGGCCAAGCGGTATTTCTATGGTCCGGCCTCCGACCAAAGCTGGACTTCATACGCCAGACTCGCTCGTTTATGAGCGGTATTTCCACCGATGGTTTTCTGACCAAAGGCTGTATGGTGCAATGACTAGCACACTCTCATAAAAATTTCAGGGAGAGATGTCGGTTCAAATCCGACTGCGGCCCGTAAACTCTTGAGATTTATTTGATCTCAATCATTTTTGCCGTTCGCTGGCTTGAATTGAGTATGATTGAGTATGATTTGAGTGCAAAACGCCGAGTGATGGAATCCGCCTTGCAGGTTGGGCATTCGATACAGCCCTGGGAACCAAACCGCAGATTAGCTCGCTTCAAGCTTTGGGTAGACGGCTAGGGCCGCGCCCAGAACGCACCTGGAACGTACCTAGCGGTTTGGCAGCATGCCTGAAGACGTCACTTGATACATCTTGGAATCCGCCTGATGGCGAGGCTGGACCGGTGGAGCTGCCAGGGTGATTGGCCGGTGTTGCGGATGACGTTGTCGGGAACGGAAGCTCGTCGCGCCGCTGTCACCGTCGCTGTCGCCTCTGTCGCAACTCCTTGCTAAGCATGACAGATCTCAACCGCACGATGGCATGCCCACGCCGCCCATCATGCATCATCGCCCTCTACGCTTACATCCTCCTCGAATAGGGTGTCGCTTTTCCTCTCAAGATGTCCGCCCTTACTCCCGGCCAGGCGCATGCCCTTCTCGACATCCTTACCCACCGCGAAACGTACAATGCTGAAATCGAGCTGTTCAAGACGCCTGGGATCATCAACGAATACGGCCCTCCCTTCCAGGATCGTTCCACCGTATCCAAGTCGCCGGTCCTCCAGAAGCTCTTCAACACCTTCGTCGTTCCTATCCCCGGCCTGCGCGATGTCGACCAAGTATTCTGGACCAAGCGCGTCGGCCCGATCGTTGATGATCTCGCCAAAGCGAATCTCTCCGAGTCCTACGATAAGGGCAGCATGGGAATCCGCAAGACACTTGCCACCGCCATATCCGCACTGATTGAATATCCAGCCAGAGGTGTGTTGGGCGGTCTACCAGGGAGAGACGTCGCGTACGATCCGTCACAGCCGTATGATGTCCGCAACCAGCACGACCTAGCCAATGCTTTCAGGGAGTTTCTACGCCAGATAGTGTACGGGGACCTCCTGGACGAACTTTTCGACAAGGCTGCGGAGAGTGATGATCTTCAGGCACACAGTCAGATGGTCATTGCGGCTCATCAGCATATCGTGGTCAAGTAGGGAGTGCCAATCCTTTATTGCAATCCCGTTGACTCCTATCTACACTTTGAAGACACCATAGGCTAACGTGTGTCTTCTCTATCCGCAAGTCTAGCTTCGCTGGTCCACTATGTTTTGGTCACCTCGCCGAAGGGGCAGATGCTCCTGTCCCTTATCGAACGAACCAATCGGCTTATCCCATATCGGATCATACGGCAGACTCTACGGATTGGCAACGCTGCAACAATGATCAATGGCATGGTGAAGCTGGTGCTAGCCAAGATGAGCATTGGAGCTGTTACCAACTGGATTGGGTTAAGCACAGGCGCGGATGAAGGCATGAATCTATTACAGACGTAGGCCTTACCGTCTGACTTTTACTCCCGGCCCGAATAGAATCCCGCTAATCCCCCTCCCACCGCAGAATAATATATACAGTGCTCAGTTGGGATATTCGGGAGCTGGAATCCCGGGCTTCTAAGCTCGAGAAATCGAAGGATATTCCATCTAAAGACCAGATCTCCGCTGTACTAGCATATACGAAGCTAACACGCGAAGAGCAAGAAGCCCTTCGTGAAATAAGCAGTACGTCTATCTTTCGTTCTACTTCCCAGCAAGTTTTTCGCCCATCTCTAACTTCAACCAGAAACGGCATCCGTATCAATCATCCACGCGATCCTAACAGCTTCGCCTTCGAACCCTTCGACAACGCTCTCGAACGACCGGCACCGCTTCCTTCTCGAATACCTCGCCATCCAACTCTCCATTCGCGACCGCGAACAGATCATCAATGTTCTATGTAAATCCAATCCGGACAATCTCACTGTCGCTATCCGCGACATTGTGACGATCTACGATCCGATTATAAGAAACCTTCACATCGCCGTCGACCTCAGTGGCACCGTGTCAGATTTCGAACGTTTTGTCAACGATATGATCAAGACGGCAAAGATAAACGACTCTGCAAAACAGTCAGCGTCAGCACCATCAGCCCCCGGTGTGGAAGAATTCGTAGCACTCTTCGAACGACACCAGAAGAGCTGCCATGTGTTCCTCCACCAATTCTGCAAGAATGGCGCAAAAGCAACAGAGCTGTGGAGAGACTATGCGAAATACGCTGTCAAGCAGTTCAGACAACCGGAGAGCACGTCAACCGAAGGAGGAGCAGGCGGCTTTGATGACACTCTGAGCAAGCTGGTCAACGAGCTCGGGGAGGCAGACAGGAAAATAGTCATCGAGCAAATGGATGCGTACGAAGCCTACTTGCAGGAGCTGAGTCGGAAGACGAACAGAAGAATGGCATCCGTCGTCGCATCAGACTTAGCCGAGGCGACTGCTGCACTAGCGAAGAAGCCAGCTAGGAAGCAGACGAAGAAGGGCCCTGGTAACTTCCTGTTCAAATGGCAGGAGCTTCTGGATTCGACGCAAATTACACCTAGTGTCGCCGTTGGAGGCAGAGTGAGGAGCGGGAAGGATGTAGATATGAAGACAGCTAGTGGTGTTGATTTGACTGGTGACAAGAAGCCGGTGTCAACGACCAAGCCAGAGACCGACGGGAGTGGGGCGGCGACTTCAACTAGTAATGGCGAGCTGAATGAGCCGGCTCAGATGCCAGATGTTAGGAGGACGGTGGAACTACTGCTACCGCGCTTCAAAGAGGCGCTTGCGACTGGCAAGTAGCATTTATAATTCACAGTAATGCGGTGTTATATATATTGGGCGTAGTCTTATGTTTAATGTTTTAGCTATTCCGCGTCTGTTTTTTTCGAGATCTCATAGACTTTAGCACAGCACATATGTTCGGAGTACTCACATATATAAATATAGATAATCTTTGCATTAATATGATGTGATCTAGGCACGAACTAAATGTGAGAAGATCGTAGATCCAGAGTGCAACGTCGCCAACGCAGGAGTAAAGCCCTGAATCCTGCCAAATAGAAGTCGCAATATTCACGAACCCGTTTGATATATCAATCCATAACCAAGTGTATATGCACTGGCTTTACGAATAGAGTGTAAGTATAGGCAATATGTTATTCACACTATCTGACTAAGCTCTCATCGCGACGATCTTTCACGTGCTGCAAGCAGATATATACCATGTACCCGGTGTCGACCCATGCGATTGGCGGAATATGCGTGCATCTGCATGCAGAGGCAATTACATACGTTTACACATGCAGGTACTATTATGCCTATATATTTTGAAACCGTTGATACGGGCTCCATGGTATCGATGTCTTACATGGTCGAATTGACCGGCCCGACCCGCTCCTATTCAGATTTTCCGGCCGGCCAGTGGATCGATATCGCGTTATCCATACCGAAGCTCGGATTTTGTATATAGCGTCTACAGCGCCTCAGACGATTCGAAGGTTGAAGTTCGAAATGGATCGCGATGTCGCTGGGTGGGGGGTCGAGCGGTTGTAGGCATGCATGACGAGCTAGCGAGTTTGGGGTTCGGCCAGTTAACGCTGATAAGCCGGACATGACGACCCCTCGTTAACGTCGACGGACAGTGTGATGGAGGCAGACACGAATAAATAGGAGCTACCGCTTAATCTGACATGACACGAATAGATATATATATAACGACGAAGGAAAACCAGCGCGCGGTACACAGGAATACAAAGAGATTAACACTCGATAAGAAACGAGGAAAGCAAGGGTTTCGAATCAAAGAGACTCAAGAAGAAAGGCTTCAAGCAGTAGAGTGAGAAGAGTAAGATCTTAATACCGGAAAAGTTTGAAAAATAGCAGAACCAGTCTTGGCGTTAGTGCTCACTCTGTCATGAACACCATATGCGTTTCGCAACCGACCCTCTAGCTAGGTAGTCTCCTCAATTTCAACCGCGCAACCACTCGGCAACGCCAAAAATATGACCCAGAAACAGCATTAGAAGAGATTCTTACCACCGCCCAGGATGGCATTCTTCTTCTGCTGCGCGATGAACTTGTTAGTCGCCTTTGCGAATTCCGAGGATGTGTTCTCGAGATTCTGCATGTTGTCCTGGAAATTCTGCAGGTTCTGCGTTCGCGCGTTGAACCCGGCTGTCAGGTTGCCGAAGACGCTACCGCCCTTCCCGCCTCCACCCTGTGCAGCCTCTTCCATCTGCTTCTTGGACATCGGGCGGTTAGGGCCCCCGATGGCGAGCTCGTACTCTTCAATTGGGATGGATCCGCCGCCTTTGATCCACTGCAGCCCTGTTATCGTTGGACGGGAGGGGATAGAGCAGTTGGGGTTGTAAAGAATATCTTTTGGCATGCTAGATCTATAGGATTACGAAGAAGAACGGTAAGAGGGAGGAATAGCAAATTAGTCTGGGGTCTCTCGTGTCTTTGAATATTTTGGGGGTGGTATGGTCATGCTTACAGCGGCTTTCCCTTGCCCCAGAGATAGAAGATACCGATTTCTGTAGTACCGGTCCAGAGAATTATATATCCCTCGCGGGTGATATGGCAGTCCGCCAATCTAGAATCGTCATACGGCTTGGGCAACTCGGCGGAGCCAAGATCCTTCAAGGCCGGCAGCGAGTACACCTTGACCTTTCCGGTGCTCATCACGCAAGCGAGTACAATGCCCTTGTCTTCCATCTCGACGACAGACGCAGAGAGGCAGTTGTAATCGTCCCAAGATTTGGCCTTATATTCAGGTACATTTATGATCTTCACCTGGGACTTCGTTAAGCACACGAGGAAACCGCTGACGAATTGTCCCTGTCGCAGGCCTGCCATGGCTTGTGGAGTCGCGTACGCGTGGGCTCCGGTGTCGGCGTTTATTGGAATGATCAGATAAGGTGGCTTCTCGAACGGATGGAAGTCGGCGAATTGAATAACGTGTCGAGATCCTTCAGGCAGAATCTTGAAGGTGATAACATTGCCCATGGACGTTCCAATATTGAGGCAGACACTCGAGTACTCTAAGA